CATACACCTACTCGAAGTTTTTGCTTCAGTCTCCTTGTGCAATTGAGAGCGTAAGTCTTCACCAAGATTGTTCACTTTCAAGATCAATCCAGATACCTCATATTGTGACTCACTTGCTCAAGAAGATAGAAGATGCTGGTATGAGCAAACAAGGACTTTCAGCAATCTAACTTGATTGCTCAACTTCCTGCTTGATAACTATTGACTGTGGTGTGCTTTTTCTAAGTTTCTTACAGATTTTGATGCTGATAAGCAGCTTTCTAATCCTTTTCTGATTGGTGGACTGATGATTATGATCGAGCAATCGACAGACGCGAATCATGATCATGAGAGCCGATTGCTTTCTCCCAATCGGCGCAAAGTTTACAGGCCCTGAAGTGGCCATGCGGCGCCTTCAGGACATGGCGAGGGCATGGCCTGCGCCCTGGCCCTCGCCCTGCCCGAGAGCATGGCGCCACGTGGCTTCGTGGCTTCGGGTGTGAGCGTGAATTGGAGGTCAAATCTGTTTACTTGGTCTCAACCAAACTATGAACTTTTGTATACCAGCTTAAATCCATCAACATATAGACTCTACTGTACATGACCTATCATGTCAATTTATGAATCATGATACATCTCATATACCCTAGGCCTCTTGATCAACTCTCTTGACCTTGAGTCCTGGATCACATTAATTTGGTGAGTCTATAGGTCAACATTCTCTTGTTACTACATTGTACATATTCATTTTAAATTCCTTCATACATTTCCTATTGTGTGTAACCCTGTGCCTTGCCTTTGGTCAGAGTCTGTCAGGCTGCAAGTCATCATTCTGAATTTGAATTTGCCATTGCACAAATTTTGCAACTTGAAGTTCTCATTCCTCTACGCCTGTTTCATACACCTTGGCTATGCACAGATACTCAGCACTTAACAGTTTACATGATTAAGTGCTATATCTTCCAGCAAGATTGAATTTAAAGGCGGGCAAGCCCGCCTATGTTCTAGTGCAATGTATGTTTGAAGCAGATGAAAACTTGGAATTCAAAGCAATCAGACTCAGACCATTCCTTTAATGATTTACCGTTCTCTCCTCCTCCCAGGTCAAATCATCTACAAGCCTTGTTGTATTCAGATGTCTTCAGACAGTCAAGATACTCAGCCTTCAAATAAAAGAAACATGTATAATACCTTGAAACTTGGGAGGGACGAGTTCCCTTGTTCTTTCCTTCTGGTTTAATTAGGTTTTTTTGATGCAATCTTGATGTTTATGATTATGTATACACGTGTCATGATTTTGCCAAGCACATATATACCTACCTATAGCTACATACCTATTGATCTTTGTTTTGTCATCTTTTGCTGAACCATCTTTCAGGTGACAGTGCGACTGGGATTGCAACCACAGGTTCTGTTTTTAGCACGCGACTTCTTGCTTCATTTGCTGATCCGGGGGCTTGGGTCAATGTCCCGGGACTCATCTCAAAGTATCAGACATTCAAATTTCACGATGATTCAAGTGATAAAAGCTAATAAAGTCTGATCCAACAGCATCCAACCTCATTCAACACTTTGGAAACTTTGAATTGATGTATTGACTTCGAGCAAGATAATGAATGAATCTAACAAACTTTGAAGAAACAACGGATTTCGAAAAGACAGTCACAGCGGCCAAAGGAACATAATATTATACAAAGTCCAAATGAACACAAATAGCGAATCTTTAAATCAAACACAAGTCAAAAATCAAGAGAGGTGTAGACTTTTAGTAACCAATACTTGATGTTCTAATGAACCAGCATATTTGCTCAAATCAACTTAGACACATCTCAGGCATTCACAGCACTTTGCAAGTAAACTCAGGGCTTCTTTCCTTTCACAACCCGGAAGGAAATACCGGGACCATCAAAATATCGTTTTTGCCTGAGGAAAGAAGATACCATTAGCCACCATTCAAACTGCGAACACAAATTGGACGATTGACAAACAATGTTGAGGCTCCATCATTCACAATGACGTCACGGGTTTGATGGTGATGGGAGCTACGTCAAATTAATAGTCCAAAACATTGATTAATATTGTGGAGAGCAAGGTTTAGCGGCTCTTCAGGATGCGGATGTGGACGGTGGTATTACCTGGCTTCTTCGGGTAAGCTACGAGCTTCTACTGCATTCATATCGCTGGGCTGGCCACCACTGATTTCCAAATCAGAGTTAAGTAAGCAATGCAACTCATATTCTAGGAAGAGTGAATACCGCGAGATGATCTTACCTCGAATGGGGAATCGCTATTCCGGAAGCTGCGATTGATATGAAAAGACAAATTGAGAAAAACAGTGCGAATAGACAATGATCTGGTGAAGATGAGATTACTCACCTGCACTCCCAATGAGAAAGGCAAGGACAACACTGATGCGCATATTGTTTAGATGTGAAATTGGGTGGACGATTCAGATGTTCTTAGAGAGATAGTAAGTTATCGATTGCGATGTGATTATTTGAGGGGAGAAGGCCAAAGTGATCGAAGAAATGTCGCTGATTTATAAGGATTCACATCTTTCCCTTGGGAGATTGACATGTTCATAATCACGTCAAGTTGCATAATCTTCGGCTCGAGGAGCTATACTTGTCGAATAAGTTACAATCGAACTTGAGCCTCTCACGCCGAAGAAACCCACACAGCCCACACGACGTCGGGGTAGATCACGGATTCAAATTATTTCCCCTGAGACAGCCTGAGACTTCTCAGACCGGAAAGTGACGGGAGCACCGGACGTCCGTATTTTCTGTGAGAATAGCATCCACCAGGACCCTCCACCAGGACCCTGAAAATTGAATACCCCTACAGAGGGTATCTTATCAAAAATGCGACCTTTTTGTGGTAAGATTTCTAAAAAAAAATCGGAATCCAACTCTTTTCGTCAGTACCCTTGCAGTACCTTGTATTTTGGCGGGGATCAGGCATTGGGGGGCAAATGGCTTGTAGAGAGCAGAGGGGTCCCAAAGCCCCCCTGAGACAGTTCTTCATGTTGTAACAACAAGTTTCTTTGACCATAAACATTGAGAAGGATTGATAATGGTCATGAACTGACTGAGGTGTAGTGTCCAGCTTAGGCAGCACAATTGAATGTCATCCTTTTGAGATGTGCTATATTATATATGTGAAGCTCAACTCAGGCTTTCTTCAGACGCGGCCACGTTAATAAAAGCTCGACTGTGTCACTTGGCTCAAAGAAAGTGGTGCTAAAAATGAAGCGAGCTTGTGCACTAGCCTCAAGGCTTATGAGAAGCCCTGCTCGGTTTTTGGTGAGGTTAAACGATGGTTTCAAGCCAAAGACCTTGAAAATCCGGCTGTGCTCAGGCCAAACCCGGGCTTTGGTCAAGAGTTCCTCTTCGCACCTATGCTCTTCGAGAGCAGACGTGGCCGCGTCGAAAGAAAGGCTTAGTTAAGAATTTTTCTATGAAACTCTTCCTTATCTTCTTCCTGTTAAATCTGAAAAGTACCTCCAATTCCAAGGTCATCATGTACAGCCCTTCATGAATTTATCGGTATTTTTTCATGTCATGTGTGTTACAGTGAGTTTTAACCTGTATGTCCAAAACCAAGACAAAACTCGACCAGGCAGTTTTGTCTGAGTGACAGATCGGGTGGGAAGATGTCAACATTTTGAATGTTGTCCCCACCTACTTGTCCAATCACGACCCATCTCCTTCCTCGATGCCATACTATCACACGCATCTAATCACCAAACATCAGTCTCACCAAGCAAAGGATATCCCCGGTTCGGTTCGTTTGGTCTTTTCATTCCTTCCCCCTTCTCACTTTCCCTTCGCCCACACCCGATTTGATCCATCTTCCTGTGTTTTCTTCTTTTTTTCTAAATTTCGAAGTCAGTATTTTTTTCTTCCTCGTTCCACTTCGACCTCTTTCTTTTTTCTTATCGAACTGACTCCTGTCTTTCATCTTTCATCCACCTCTTGTAGCAAGATGCCTGTGAATATCTACACACCCGACATCAAGCTAATCGTTGTTCGCCTGGTCTTGCGAGGTGTTTTGTTTCCGGAAATCGTTAGGACTCTTGGTGTAGATGTCTCGCTCACCTCAGTTCGTCGGTGGTATGACCTTTACCAAACTACTCGGGCAGTCATTACCAACCCTCTGGAGCATATGGCCCGCGGACCTCCCACCACTTTAGCACAACCTGAACGCGACTTTGTTCTTGATTCTCTCCGACTTGATCCGACCCTTTATCTTGACGAACTTCAAAGGAAAATTCTCAAAACTCACGGTATCCAAATGTCTTTACAAACCCTTTCGGTCGAGCTTTGCCATCGTCTTCAGTGGACTCGCAAAAAGACTAGAACAGTGAATCCTAATCAATCTTTTGCCGCACAAGGAGCGTACATTGAGGCGGTCCATGGCATCGATCCACGATGCTTGGTTTTTACTGGTAGGTTTTTTTTATTATGTATATATCTTGGCTTGGACATATCTGACATTATTCTATATTTGAAGATGAATCGGCCATCACTAAACGTCACCTTTATCGTGAATACGGCCGAGCACCACTTGGAGAACGTACCAGCCGGGTGCAGCGACCAACTCAATCTTTTCGATGGTCGGTTTTACCGGCCATCTCAATGGACGGTATTTTAGCACTCAAAATTCAACCAGGGGGGTATGCGAGGATCGATTTCGAGGAATTTTTGGAACATGAAGTCGTAAGCTCCTTTTTTAAATGTTCACTTATGACAGAGGGATGACTGACTGACTGTCCCTTCAGTTACCTGCAATGAATCCATGGCCAGCACGCAACAGCGTCCTGGTCATGGACAATGCCCCGATCCATCACGGGGGCAGAGTGGCTGAGCTCTGCGAGGCACGTGGAGTCCGCCTTCTTTACCTACCTGCTTATAGCCCGGATTTCAATCCCATCGAGAAGGGATTCTCGGTGTTGAAGGCTAGATTGCGACGCTCGCAAGTCCTTCAAAGGGCTGCAGGCCTTGCAGAAGAGACCGCCATGATATTTATGGCTTGTATGGAAGTCTTTACATCTGATCTGTGTCAAGCTCTTTTCAGAGGATGCAGCTATAATTGACTCATGGCCAGTATGTTTTTTGGTAGTAAAAAAATAGTATTGCAATGCTCCTCATTACATTTGATCAGTGTTGTGTGGGTTTGATTTCAATTTTTTTTTGGCGTCATTTATGAGTATGACAGATATTTCACCTTTGTGCGCGTGTTTCTTTTTTTTTTCTTCTTGTTTTTTTGAAAAAAAATTTTTTGGCCTCAATATTTTGTGTCTGGATTTTTTTTTCTTCTTGTTTGCCTTATACAATTGCAAAGTTTCAATTTGTTATCATTAATCAAAATATCTTCATATCAGAATATGAGATAGATAAGATGCGATATGATGAGCATATGGTCTTACAGATGAGAGTTTGGTACACCACAACAAATCTCTCAAGAAAGAGCCAAATATGATCTTTAAAAAGTTGGAAAATTTAACAACTTTTTGAACTGAAAAACTTGTGTAAAAAAAAATTGGACTGACAAAGAGCCCAATCAAAACATTGGTTTTCGAACACTCACTCAAAGTCATGAATTAGCCAAATTGATGGGAAAACTTGGAAGGCATCAAGTTTCCGATGATAATTGGTAAATGAAAAACCAAATGTCATCATTGACATTTGGGACACTTTTGGAAATGATGACATTTCATGTGAGTCAATTGGATCGGATCGTACGGAAAGGCTTCATCTCACAGTCAGAAGTCACCATTCAAAAATAAGAGACTTGCATTGACTTGGGTAAACGAGGACTGAGTACAAACGATTGCGCACACAAAGGATCAAGAGCATGAAGAGACAGGAAGAAAAAAAATACTTCGAGTATTTCAGATTGATAAATCTGGTCTGACTAAAATACGACTGAGATCAAATCAAACCATGGCGCACACAAACTTTCACATAACATCAATACTTTGGAAAAAAACGATAACTAAACCTTCACATCGAGTATTTGAGATAATTGGCTTAGTGAAGTGGACGTATAATCAATTGAATCTAATGAGAAACCAACACGATGAAAGTCAGTCATGTGTTAGTTTCTAAGGTTCAAATACAAGACTTACTGAGGGCTTCTTCGTTCCATTCTTGAGCTTTAGCCAAGATGATGGCCGCATCATCTTGCTTGATACCAAGGGTGGTCAAGGTAGATTCAGTCATTTGGGAGCAGGGAACCAGATCAGACCACGTTTGGATTTTGGCCTTTTTCATGATTTTACGGATGGGGCGGGTAGACAAGCCACATTCCATGAGGAACTTGTCAAGCTCGTATTCGTGCTTTTCCAACATCTCAAGCTCAGAAGAGAGCACGATGTCATCTTCGGATGGATCGGGTACCCAAAAGTTGGGATCGGTTTCTGATGTACACAGCGAGATCAGTCTATGAAAGAAAAAAGATGAAATGCAAAAAACTTACCGACTTTGGCCACCTTAACCTTCTTCAATTCCCGATTGTAGAAGGCTAAGGGGGTGTCATCTTCATCGTCCTCGGAAGGACTCGCTCGCTTCTTTTCAGGAGAAGGGCAAGGTTTGACGTCAGGGGTTTTCGAGGAGGTGCCACTACCTCCAGCAAAGACAGCTTTGCTGGTACTGCCACTTGGATATCGAAGTTGGACTCGATCTTGAACCTTTGTTCCCTTATGTATAACACGAGACTTCGCAATTTCGGCTCGATAAGCATAAGTGCTGGGGGCCATACTCTTCGTGGCTACACCACGGACCTACAATGAGATCGATTAGCCAAGTAAGTAGAGTAAGTCAGTACCATCTCTACTTACTTGACTAAACTAAAAAAAACTTACGATGTCTTTGGCCCACATGAAGGCACATCGGAAGGTGAATCTATAGTGGAAGTTAGGGTCCCAAGGCGCGGTGAGGACAGCTCCATCGCCACCCGCGCTTCCTGCTTCAGCGTAAAGATGAAATAACTCGGCAGTCAACTCGTGAAGCTTGATTAGCTTCTCGGCGTCCTGAAAATAATCCAATCATTAGTAAGCTAAGCATTGATCGAATATGACCGTGTGGAAAACAAGTGAACTTACCCCCAAACGATTGGTCATTTTGGCCAACTCGGCGTCAACAGTAGAGGGACCATTGGAAGAAGCAATAAGCTGCTTAGCAGCCTTAGCCTAATAATGAAAAGAATCAGTATAAAGAAGTATATACAAATATAAAAAATAAAGTAAACTCACCTGGGCCGCCTTTTTGGCCAAAACCTTAGCAGACTCACTGTGAATCAAGATGGTTCCCTTCCGCTTGTTCGATTTCGCTATGGCGGCCACAAACTCGAAATACTTGTGGTGGTCGGTTAGAACAAACTTTAGTCAAGTTTGGGGCCATCTCCGAGAATAACACCATGTTCTTCATTCCAGCCCAGTACTGGTCACATACATTACCGCACATTTCCTTGAAAACCTTGAGAGACTTGCCATAAAGGCAAGTTATCATTTCAAACGTGTTTTCATTGTTGAAAACCTTCGAGTCAATACAGTTGACAGTCGCCACGGTGGATTTGGATTTGGCGTTTGTCGCTTTGTTAGACCGAGTCGGTTTAGCTGGGGGCATGTCAACAGGGGCTTCCTCGTTGGTATAAATTTTGAAAAGAACTACCACAGTTGCCTCATGAGCGCGATCAAACTGCGCGCGTTGAGAGGTGCCAACTCGGTACAACGGATCGTGTTGGGCATGTCGAGCGGGTTCGTCATCGCCAGTCAAGTGGTCGTTAGGAGGCTCTAGGACTAGGTGAAATCAAAAACGAAAAGATCATTAGGAGGAAAGAAAATATGTCAGCAGGGTGGGGATGGTATGTGAGACGATGAAGAGAGACACTCACTTTCAGGTCTCACAACCGCATCGAAGTGCGCAATGCCATCATTAACAGTGGTCAACCCAGTGGATTGCTCGGCTGGGACAGAGGTCATAGGGGTAGGTACGATGTTGATGGAAGACTTTTCCTAAAGAAAACAATCAGAAAGAAAGAAATCAGAAAGAAATAATAATATGAAAAGGCGAAAGAAAAGAAAATAACACACAGTGATCTGGACTTTATAAGAAGGTCTGAAAGTTCTAAGATGGTTTTGGTTTAATGAGTTTGTTGAAGATGGATTGGTAACCTGAATCGATGAAGTGATGAAGTTGGTTGAAAGACGAAGGCTCCTTTTATCGCTGAGTTGATAGTCCTGACACTTGGAAGGGACCCCCATTGCGTCAAAGTTAAAATGCACCCTCATCACATGAGATGGACGTTTTTTTTGGTACCATTTACCACTTGAATGGTAAGATCGGTTCCAAATCGAGCTCAAATCCGCCATTGAAAGTTTTCCTACCAAGAAAACATGAGAGATAAGATCGGTTCCGGTTTCATCCAAAAAAAGCGACGAGTCCTGATCGGAGTTTTTGCTACCAGAGGAAAGTAAAGTCAATGAATCAGTTCATTGGTTGGTGATTCTGGTGATTCGATATTGAGACCATAGAAAGATTATATTGGACCTAGACCTACCCAAACAATTTAAACGCCAATAGGAAAGGATCGGTTTGTGGGAAAAGCCTCGTTCGATTTTGATGTGGTGAATTCCATGGAGTGGAATTTGATGTTCGGTGGCCGTAGTGAACAGGATGAGAACGGATCCGTTGGAAAGGCCAGACAACATCGAAGGCGAAACCAAAGGTATTGGGTAACGCTCCGGAAAGAGAGAGATCGGATGGAACCATGGTGAGACCATGGTGGACGTTGTTCAGTTCGTCCTACCTACCGGGTCACTGTCCGGAAAGAGGTCGAAAGAGGTCGAATCGGTCGATGGAGGTCGAAAGAGTCGATGGAGGTTGAATGAACTCGATTGGAAACTAATCGAGTCAGAGAGGGAAGGTGAGAGACCCTTTGACAGGTCCGACACGGACCTGTCATAGGTATATTGGCACTTTCTTGGTGGTTTTTTGGTACAAAACCGGCTTTAACCCAGGTTTGGTACTTTTGGACTTTTGACAGACACGACACAAAAAAAAAAAAAAACCGATAAATTCATGAAGGGCTGTAATACAAGTTCAACCTCTATCCTTGGCTTTCTTTTCTCCAAAAAATCACACTCATTTTCAAAGCCAGGAAATCCGAGATGTCAGGAGCTTCAAAAATTTCAAACCTCTCCTCTTTCTTGGCGTATTGGATAAATGAGAGTCAATATAAATTTAATTGCCCGCAATTTCAACAAGATATACATAAATTCGTCAACGCTGATATGAAGATATTAATAACAACTACGAGCTTTTCAATTAACATAACCCCAAGCTCCATCTACCAGTCACCATACTGTTTCCCTTGGTTAAAATACACATGTAATTTCCTTTCAACAAAATAAATTTGATATGATATTAATTCTTAATACAAATCTACAGCCCTTTGCAGAATTGATGACTTTGGAAAAAGAAAAAACACTTGAGTTTTCAAAAAGAACCTGCGAGTTTTTTTCAAAAACTCATCGAGTTTTTCAAAAACTGAGCGAGCTCTTGTTCGTGAGTGTTGAATCGATCAATTGAACCAACTTCTTGCCCAGTTTTTGAAAAAACTCGGTCACTTTTTGACAAAACTCGAGGTTTCTTTTTTGAAAACTCGAGGTTTTTTTTTCTCCAAAGTCATCAATTCTGCAAAGGGCTGTACATACCAAAAATAAACATGTAAAACAAATCCAATTCCTTCAATTCTTTTCTCTCTCAAATATAATATACTCACTTTTCACATCAATGTTTATAAATAATTTTAAATCAATCATAATTTTTTCTTATAAACAGTAACACATACATTTCAAAATAAAATAAAATTTCAAAACCAAAAAACGAACCAAAAAACACACAAACAAACAAATAAATCAAGAGTCGGGATGAGAAATAGAAATAGAAAATGAAAGGAAATCCAATCAATAAAGGAATGATACCTTTAAGATGTCCTTTCCATTTGAATTTTTGTTTGAATTTGTGAATTTGTGAATTTTTGAATTTTAAATTCATAAATTCAAAAATCATCAAATCGGTTTCAATTCATTTTCAGACGAACCATTAATCATTGAAGAAGCTTTAATCATCTAAACATAAAATTCAATCATACGCAAAAAAGCCAAAAAAAAACCAAAAAAAAAGAAAAGTAAATCAAGATCAATTTCCAGAAAGAAATCCATAAAGAAAAAATGAAAATCAATCATGTCAAAAAACCAACTAACAAAAACGTACCTCTTCTTCAGCTAAACGTTCAGATTCCATAATACTTTTCATTCTATTAACTTTCCATTTAGTACACCTAAGAAAAAAAAGTCCAAACCCACAAGAATCAATCAATCAAAACAAGAAACATCTTTCGAAACAAAAAACATCACATAAAAGAAAAAAATAAACAAACTTCATAAAATTCCATCGACCAGCCGTAAGTCCAAACAAACTAGAATTCTGTCTTTGAAGATCTTTCGGTTTTCGCATTGTAGTAGAAAGGTTTCCATTCCCATTCAAACCGGATTCCCAATGATCACCTCCTAGTATTCCAGACTTCGAATCAGAAGTTGAATTGGAATTCGAATTGGAATGAGCATTAGATGAGATTTTAGATAAAAACCTTTTACTATAATTCGAAAGTTTATCTGATCGGTTTTTGATCGCAGGAGAATAATAACGTCCAGCAATACAATTCAAATGAACATGATGAGATTCACCAAAGGGAGTAAGTTGTCTAAACTTATAACCTTTAGGTGGGATAGGTAAATATTTAAAACTTGTATCACTTGAATCTTCTGGGATGGTGGGTAGGATCGGTACATTAGTAAGTTTGGTGATTTTAGGAGTTGATCGACTTTTGGTTTTGTCTTCTTCTTCTTCTTCATCATCATCATCATCATCAATCACTACCACAATCGAAGGTTTCGGTTTCGCGTTCGGTTTATGATTCGGTAAAGATTTCTTTGGAGTAAAAGAAGAAACCGAAACTAAATCATAAACTTTTCCAATCAAAATGATCGTTTCTTCAATCTCATCACGATAAATTCCATCAATTTTTAAAAAATAGGCTTTATCATTTGAATCAATATGATTTAAATTTAACTTCGAATTCAATTGATTTTTAAATAATTCCATTGGTAAATCAGATTCCACTTTATTCAATCTAACTGTATCAAAGATCCAAATCTTTTCAGCACCCCACCAAACACTTTGATACCAATTCTCAGGTATTTTCTTCATCATCAATCCGTTTACTTCATTCACTTGAGCTTTATGAATCATAGTAGGTCTTCTAATCAATTCTTCAGATTCGTCTTCTCCTTCATCAGTTTGTAAATCATAAGGATCAGAAGTAGACCAAGATTCTTCTAGATTAGCTCCGATTTGTAAAGCTAATAAAAAACTCAATTTAGCATTCTCAATACACGTAAAATTATCTAACATGGGTCTTTTGCATTCTTGTTGTCTTTCAATTAAATAATTAGATAAGTTTTGTTGAGTGGAATTCTTTAAATTGAATTTTTCCTTAATATCTTTAAACGGTTGAAATAACCAAGGTAATATTGAAGATTCTTCTCTTTTAATGATTTCTTCTAATCCTAATAATCTGATCTTCCAATAAAATTTTTGTTCTGATTTCATTTTGGTAAATGAAGAAGAAGTTGATGTACCTTTAGACAAATCTACTTTAAGTCGTTTATTTTTGGGTCTTTTAACTACCAATGCTTTTTGATTGATCGAATTGATTAATGTTTCATTTGATTTTCGATTCGAATGTTTATCTAATCTTTTCTTACTTTTTTCAGTGTCTTCTCCTTCACCATCTTCATCATCATCTATTGTAATACAAGCTTGAGTTTCTAAGACCATCTCTTCACATAATCCAGGCCAATACTTTGTATCTAAATCAAATCGATCTTGATTTTTAGAATTCGAATCTTTATTTCCAATAAATTCATCTTCAATATTACACCAAACCAATTCATATTCTCTAAAATTCGATCGATCAGTCATTAAATCTCGTTTTAAATCTTTTGATAAATATGGTCCATGATAATTTACTTGTCTTGAATCTATCGAATTAAGTTCAGATCTTGAATCATTTGAAGCCAGAATCGCAGGTACTTCAGATGATGATCTGGTTCCAGTCACTTTGAATTTCTTACTAGGTCGTTTCTTCACAATCTCTTGTGATGAATCTTCAGGTGAAGTTAATTCATGAGTTCGATTCAATGCTTTGATGGCTTTACGTTTCGAATTCGTAGGTTTTGATCTTTGGATGGTGGGTTGTGAATGATTGGTGTAATTTGAATTGGTTTCTGTTTGACTTTTGGTTCCTGCACAATATTTACATTGACAAGTGATAGTAGAATTGGAGGTAGCAAGCCATTGAAGATGTGGCAGAAACTCATTGGCTGTTCGAAATTTGCGTACGTGACTGGATCCTAAATAAAACCCAGTGAGTTTGGATTAGCTTATCAATCTGAAAAGTGACCTTTGATCAAAGTAGGAAAGAAACCAACCAAAAAGATACTGATCTTGAAGTGATCCCTTAATATAATTAAAAAGTTGATAATTTTCAGGAAAGTTAGTTAACTTCCAATCCTCTTTTTGAGTACCTATCAAAAGTTCCAAAGAAAGATAATCAGTTTCAAGAGAAAAGAAAAAGAAGAGGATAGATAGATTAACTTACATTTGATTAATCCTAATGAATCAGCTAAACCTTTACCTAAGATAGATAACCATTTGTTAGAAATTTTTGAATTTAAATCGATTGAATCCCAAGAAGTTGAAGTTTTGATGGAAGTTGGACAAGGACCTATAGCTGGCCAAGTGGATTGAGTTGCATCTGAATGTAAACAACTGATTTGATGTGGACCGTTTGAGTTAGTTGGATGATGAATGATTTTGATTTTAGTTGGATTTGAGTTTGATGAACTAGATTGAGATGTCATTTCTTCATTCCTTTGGCTTGGGTGCTTTGTTTCAATACTCTTGAGTTGATTTCTTGGATATTGTTTTCATATTCTGCTTGAGTACTTTCTTGAGTTGAGTTGAGTCTTGGATTGGTTGAGTTGTGGTGATGAACTTCTTTAAGGTGTTATGTATGTTGCTGAGCCAAAGACAAAACTCATGGTCGAAACACTTCAACTCATGAACCTCGACTCGGACTACATATGTATGAGGACATATTTCATTTCTTTTCCTTGCAATTTCTTTTCCCACAGATATCGACAAAACAAATCGAATTCCCTACTACATACATCCAATCAACTCAACAAATTTCTCCTCTCTTTACACCCTCCACCTCAAAAAAAAAATTAATTCATCTTTCTTTCTTAAAAATACAAACATAAGTTATCGAAAAAAAAGAAAAAGAAGAAATCATCAGATATTGATTATGGAAAGAAAAAGGAATAGATTATACAACATTAGATAAATAATAATAATGGTTATTATAAAAACCCCCCTCTCTCTCCCTCTCTCTCTTTGAAACAAAAAAACAATGCCATAAATATATATATATAAATAAAATCGGTGTGTGTGTGTTTTAAACCAAAAACAAGAATGAAAAAAAAAACAATATGTATAAAAAAAAAGTTCCATTCAATCAATCAAATCTACAAAAAAAATTTGAATGCAAGTATCTTCTATCGAAAAAATCAAATCAAACCAAATTCTAATACACAAAAGAAAAACACAAAGAACGATTTTCGTTAAAAGATATCAATAAATTATCAAAAAAAAACAAAGATCATTCAAATTCTTTACATTCATTCTCTTCTCATCTCTAATCTCGTCTTCCTATTTTAACAAACAATTAAACATCAACTTCGATTTTACTCACAGATATCCTCTTTTTTTCAATCTAAAGAAATCCACTCACGAAAACACAAAAGGTATGCACTTCTAGCCTAAAAAGACGATTCAAAGGAAAAAAACAATAAGTACCAGCTGATTGATTCATAAGGAAAGATCATGACATACCTTCACTGCGTTTTCATCTGTTTTACTAACCCTACTATCTCCAATATTAAACCAATCTTTCTGAGACCTAACAAAAGCCGTATCTACAAAAAAATCCCTCATCAAAGATCAACCCACATTCACCAAAAAGAAAAGCAAAAAAAGGAATCACTTACAATGACCACTACTTAAACTACCAAAATGATTACAAACAGCATACAGATCATAAACTGTACTAGGACCCCCACCCCCACCCCCACCACCATTCTTAGAAGAAGATTTTTTACTTGGATGATGATTGTTTAAAGATTCTAATGGAGCTGGAATATAATTAGTTAAATCTAATCCATATAATGGATATTGTACAAAGGCTTCAAGTTTATCTGAAAACGGTCCTTTAAATGAGAATCGTTTTAAATGAATTAATAAAATCGGTGGTAATCTTGCAATCGATAATCTTTTGGTGGCTTTTCTTCTGGTTTTACATTTAGGACAATTCCTATTTTTTTGTCATCAAAAAAAAAACATGCAAAGTCAATCTTTAGGTTTAGGATTTGGGTTTTTTTTATTGAGAATCAGATTTGACTTACCATGCATCATCTTTTTCCATAATCTCTTCTTTTAGAAACGCATCCAAACATTGAGTTAAACTCACTTTACTCATTCCTCTTCCCGTGGGAATAGGTAAAGAAAGATACATGAAAGTATTATAAGTCGTTGATGTCTAAAAAAAAACAAATGAGTCAAATCAGTCTCAAACATAAAAGACATTCCAAAGAAAACCAATCCAAAAGAAATCATCAAAACGAACCGTTCCACAAGTTAAACACTGTAATCGACTCCTATATTGACCCTGAAACAATTCCACAATCACACTATTATCTCTTCTTTTATAGATTTCCCATTCTCTAGCTGATGCAAGTTGAGTAGGTAAAGCTTCTAATTCAGCTTCTCTTGCTGAACTCATTTCGATCGGGGCGGGTTTATGTGTGACTAAATTTAAATCTTCATGTAATCCATCTAAAAGAAATCCTAAAAACTCTTGTGCATCATGTTGATCTGAACCTCTAAATTGAGGTGCAAATCTACAAATCGCTTCCTACCAATCAAAGATCGTATTTGAATTAGCCTTCTTCATCAATTTGGTAATTATCCTTCTATAGGGGAAGCGACAACGATTTTGTTGGGAAATCACTAACCCTGAATATGGTAGGTGAGACAAACGTATACTGAGCGCTCCACATCATTCTTACCAATTCTGCAACAGTTTCAGCCAGAGCACCTTTCGTACCTAATGGGTTGACTCGATTAATACACCTTTTATAAGATCCATCTAAAAGGAAAGTATAAACCAATCTCAATATAAACCAAGCACGTAGGTAAAAAAAGGATTTGGTAATGATAAGCGAGAAAAAGAAAAGACTCTACAAACCTTTAAAAAACCTGGCCAATGGAATCGTAGCACTGATACACTGTAAAGTTGAATTCATATAACATGTATTTCCAAGATTCTTAAGACCTGTCATTCCAACTTGACCATCTTCAAAACTTGAATTAAAATAAACTTCAGTTGATCCATGTGTATTAGGAGAATAAGGTGTCACCGGTGGTGTTTCTCGAACTTTTAATCCTTTATCGAGTCCTAAATTAGATGAATAAGCCGGTAAGTTATAATAATTTGGGACGCCTCCACCAGGTGCAAGTGCAGGTGGTGGAGGTTGAGGTGGACGTCCCATAATCAAATTAGGATCAGTTCCAGAACGTGGATGATTGAAATGTGGGTATTGTATTGTAGGTCGAAGTGTATCAGGAATATAACCATTGTAATTAGGTTCTGTGGGGCGATAGCCATGATATGCAGGCGTATGTGAGCCATAAAGAGCTGGCTGTGGAGGTACGGACGGAATGTGATAACCAGCAGAAGGTATGTGCATTGGGGTGTTCGTTGAATAAGGCGTGGAAGCAGAGTCAGGAGGGATAGAGGAAAGGGGAGTGTCGTAGGTGGGTTGTGATGTCTTGCGCTGTAAAGTTTGTTCAGGTAGTGTGATTGGTGAATTGACACCGATAGGACTCTGGTAGCCATTTGATAGATATGGACCATTTGGATGCCTTGGATGGAAATAATTCGAAGGACCACTTCCATTGATAGAGTGAAGGGATGTAGTTGAAGTTGAGCTACCTAGACCTGGTCGGGTGAGGTCAGCCACGGAGCGTACGATGTCGGGTTGGTTTGTTGGACTATCGCCTTGCAGAAGGGCAATCCGCCGTCGCGCTCGTTTAACATCAGAAGTGCCATCTATGTTACCACTTTCATCGGGAGAATGAGTCTGCCTGAAGACAATCGGTGTGCCGTTGATAGATGAATGTGTCAAACTCGTCCGAGGCACATTAGCCGGTGAAGAACCCTTGCCAACCACTCCACTCTGACCAGCTATCTTTGCCCAACCCTCGAGTCCCCCACTGAGTAACATGGGCGGGTTCTTGAGACGCTTCATATATGCTTGCTTATGGATAGCCAGATATAGGATCAAGAGAAGTTTGGCAGCAACATCCGTTGGGTTTTTGGAATACATCAAATTCGGATCTGAAGGAAGTTGAACCGATCGTTTGTCGTATAGGATCACATACTCAAACTCTTGACGTCGTTCGAAAAGCATTTGCTCCCTTGGAGGTGAGATCACCAAGGATTCTTCAATGTCTGCGGAGCTAACACCGATCCCGCTATTCTTCGTCAAGACAATCGGTTCGATACATACAACATCCTGTGATTTGATCCGACAAGCTTCAAAGTCCTCACGATTCCGAATATCTAAGAACAGTACGCTAGTCTCTAACCCAGCAGCACTCATCTTTCGGAAATAATCGACCAACACAGCCGGGAGAAGCTCATTGCTCCCAGAGGGAAGAGAGGGTGGGGGTTCTTGGTTTGGAGTGACAAACGTTCTAGTATGTTTTTTGGGTGAGGAATGAGGGGAGTTGTGATTTGAAAAGTTGCCGGGTCCAGAACGATGTAAGCCATTCTTGATGGCATGTGATCGTTGAAGTATTTGAGGTGTCTGGGGTTGATTGATCTGATCTGTATCAAAATTTGGATAAGGTGGAGGTGGACTCGTACCAGACTGAGGGTCGAGATCCGTATTGCGCGTAAGGCTAGCACCAAGAGATGTGTCATTAACCAACTTGTCACTAGAGAGATTCGATTGCTTGGGTGATTCATAATTGGGAAGAGAGAATGGCTCAGGTGGCGGTGGTAAGGTGGTGTTAAAAGATCTAGGCATGCCACTTGGTACACTCGGCATCTCCGGAAAGGATGATAGTCCGTTTTTCCTTGAATCATCAATTTGTAAATTCTCTAATTTAGGAAAAGCTTGATCGAATTCTGAGGGCGAGCGTAGTGACCGCAAAGTTTTTTCAAGTGAGTCAAGATCTACGGCCATGTCCTCGGAGAGTCCGTCTGAGGGTGAATGTAGATCACTGGATGATTGAGCATCGGCAATAAGCTCAGGAGGGGCTGATCCGGAACGTATTGTAGATTGAGATTCAAGTACTGTGTTGATGAAATTAGTTCTGGTGGTGATACCGTTCTGTCCGGGAGGAACTGGCAGAGGCCTTCGACCACTTGACGAAGAGTATGAGGGTGAAAGATTATGATCTTCCTTTGGCGGTGGACTGGTGGGAGATTGAGGACTGGCAGCACCAGCCAACCCAGCGGCTTCTAGACTCTTGATGCGTGATGAGATCCCACCAGAGATTGGACGAGTCTTCAAATTAGAGGGTTGCTGACGCTCGATGACTTCAGCAAGTTGCCTGGCCCTTGTTGTGGAAGCAAGTACTTTAGGAGCCACTTCTAAGAACATCAAAGTGTCCGAAAGGTTGTAGGCAAAGACAGAAAATCGACCGTAAGCCAGCTTGACGGAACCCAATACCAATAGGGGCTGAAAATAACGTACTCACCCTGATAGATTCGATAGCTTGCTGGATGATTTTTCAATGTCTTGAAGCCCGGATGATTGAGTATGACCTGTAAAATCCTGGGAAAGAAACATGCAAGAAACATGAGCATGATTGATCCGGTAAGGCCAAGTCAAAGTTCCATTACACGCATAAGAAGCCTGGTATGATTGGTTCAAACAAGACTGGCAGAAATCCTCTAGACTGACCCAGCAGCTTTAAAATACTCTACATATGCCAACTCTGTGGACTGTTGCTCATCTGCTTCTACAGCAGCCTGGTAAACCTCATTAGCGAGTCTGACCCATTGAAGTATAGGTAGCTTTGGGTCTGGATGAACGAATGCTTTTGTCTTGAGGGTGGTTAGAGGTAAACCGATTAGAGATGATGCTGATGAAGTGATGGGCATGATGATGATTTGAAACTGGGCTGAGTTTGAAGACTTGGAATGAGATTATCGATGGAAACTCAGACCGATCTCGTTGATTGCTCGATGTCAGATTGTTGAATGATTGAGTTGATAAGTTGAGGATGAGATTGATTTGAAATGAAGTATTAAGCTGAAGTGAAGTTGAAGTGGTGCTTTGTGAGTGAGTAATCGATGAAGATTCAAATCAGGCGGTGGAATTCATGGATCTTATGATTTACTACAAAAACAATTCATGGGTTTGGTCAGGTACTCACACACAAACTCATCACACTTGTCAATCTTTTAAATTCAACTCATCTTGGCTCTCAAACTTAACAAGTCCCTTGCTCAGTTAACTTTGCTTGGCTCTCACTACAAGGATGATGTGCATATTTCTCCATGGTGAAGAATGATTGACAGAAAATTGTTTCTGAAATCAAGAGCTCAGTTTTAGTCCAAAACTCTCAAGTGAAAATCTGGGGAAAACTACAATGCTCTTTGGCTTGTGACAATTTTTTGAAGTTGCCTGAAGCCTTTTACTCAGCATCAACAAAGGTATTAAAGAATTTCTTTCTAACAAAAAATAAAACATGAAGAAAAATTCTTTGTAAGATATATCAGTTGGAGGCATTTTAGGAGATTGTAGTGTTTATTTAGTGAAAGGAGATAGAGATTTTGTACAAATTTTTTTTGAGGATTGTTGATTGTAATTGGTCTTTGTCTTCTAGGGTTCTTTTGGATAATTTCTTATAACCTATATGTGTTTTATTTGTCTTTGTTCTCATATGTAGATGTCTTCTTGAGCAGAACTTGGATTATAGAGACATTAACTTGTGAAGTCAGTTGTGAATTGTGATCGGATTCATATTGGATAAGTCAGTCAGGAATTGCAATTGGATTGGTATCAGATTATATATGTGAGAAATGAAGAAAAATATTGCATGGAGGGTTTGAAACAAATCTATCTTTGCCACTGATTGAATGTTTCCACAGTAGGTATGAAGGACACTCCATTCCATGAGGAATACATTATCACTGCTTGACTAGCCAAGTCCAAACTGCTCCGCCAGCATATTTGGTTTGGGGCAAAAATGAATGCAAAGAGTCCTCAGATTTTGACTCAAAGGCAAGCTCCCTCCAAGGATCCAACCCAAGCACAGCCAACAGAGATGCCTCGGATTGAAAAATCCGAGGTATCATCGGACTCAAATCCTCGGACAACATCTTTCCGAGGTTTTGATCTGAGGTATTATTTTGCGTCAAAAAATACCTCGGATCAAATCCTCAGACAAGACCTGTCCGAGGGTTTCCATCCAATGATGCCTCGGATTGAAAAATCCAAGGCATCTATGTTGGCGGTGAAGGCAAAGGCAAGGACCAAAATTTGCCTTGGAGGTATCCCTTGGGTGCCCTTTTCCTCACAGATGTCAACCAAGGCCTCCTGGGGTGTTATTCTTCAAAGCAAGTATGTGGGAAGTGCTGCTGTTTGGCCTGTGGTATATTTTGTTTTTTCCCTAACAATTCTGACACACAGCATTTGAACACAATGCAAACAGCTGTGGCCCCAGGTTTAGCCCAAGGAGCTCTTTTTGCCATATTGTGAGAACCACTTGCTCCATTAAGACATGGGAAGTGGAAAAAATGAGGATGAGACCATTGCACATCTTTTTCATTATCATGTCAGATTATCTTGATTGACATGATTTTGAGGCAGGGGTGTTGAGAGGACCCCAGCTACCCCTTATGAAACCTGGATATCAAAAACACACATTTTTCAGTTTATATTCCAAGAATAAAAACCCAAAACTCTCACAATCAGGTTTTTATCCTCTAAAGATACCTATGTTCACACAGGGGTGAAAGCTGGGTTTTGAATTTTGATCATATCCTTCTTGACACATATGTATGTATGTATGTATGAAAAATTTGTTTCTTCACATTTGGAGCCATTTGAGCAAAAAGAAGAAGATGGCATTTTCTGATAGGTTTGGTGCACACATTGCTGGTCAATCATGGAAAAAAACCCAGTTGGGGGCTTGAACACATTGATTCAAGTGATGTGGTGGTTGATACATGCAGAAATGGCTCTAGAAAAAGTATTTTGGGTGTGGCAATGATTTTGTCTTTCCAAGAAGCACTGTCCCACTGCAGCTCATTCTTATTTCATATGTATGTTGCTTGGTTATGTCAGCCAAAATTTAGATTTTATTCTTTTTGCATATGTAGGTATGTTTTGGCAAATTTTGGCCTCATTTCATTCTGAATTCATAACTGGGTTCCCAGAGGGCCAGCCAGGGTCCTGTGTTGAGAGATTTTTGGCAAAAGCCTTCCCAGATCTCACACCAAAAATCTATGATAGTGTGTAAGAGATCCACAGCAGCAAGCACCAAACTGACGGTATCACCAAATATAGCAGTAGGGCTGAAGATTTGTGCTGCAGTGATGGTCCTCATTGCCAAGTATATTGGGGGCCAGCCCCAAATTTTACAAGAATAGTGTGTAAGCAAGGGCTGTGTGCTAACCCTGTGAGTTCAGGGCTGTCCCGGGGCCACATTTGGCCTTGAGTAAGCTTGATGACCTCTGAAAATTGCTCAGGGCCCACTATGGCAGGCCAGGCAGGGCCAGGCTCATTTTCAGGGACAAAAATCACTTAGACAGGGGACAACTATGGGATTATTGTTTGATTTTTAGGGGTGTGCAAGGATAATGATCGTCAGCTGATTATCTGCAAGCTGTGATCAGCGTAGGAGATTAGTGTGAAGGCATTTTTGGGGGCAAAACCGGTTGGCGCCCAGGCCAGACCGGCTGCCCAGCACGCCCGCAGTACTCTTGTGAGTCTCATCAACTGAGGTTCAAATACCACAGTACACATACCATCAGCATCCCCAATAGCGCTGGGCAGAGTGGGCCAGGTGGGTTTGTGTCTGGATCACAGTCCTAGCGTATAGCAGGGTCTGTTTGATCTGATACGTCATCTCAGCTCTATCCCACTCCACCACTCGGTTTGCTTCCTTTTTTCTCTCGATCCTCAGCTTCTCTTCACTTTCTCGGGGCCTTACTGTTCTTCAAGATGGGTCAAGAAGCCTGGACTCCAAATCAGCAATCAGATGCCTTTGGTTGCATACCAGTTCATTCCCAAACTAGCCAATTGTCAGCTACTTCGACCACCCCAAGCCGACAACCTCTTTCCAACCAAAGCAGCTCAGCAAACAAAGCCAATACAGAAAACAATAACGAGATTGAGGTGGTGAATCCTAGCCAATCTTGCTTGATAAATCAACACTTGAACCTTTGTGAACCAATCCATATCGATCCATCCCATCGCAATTTGAATCAACGTCTCAATCCAACAGCAACCCATTTGGCATCAGGTCGAGCAAGAAGTATGTTCATATCTTCTTCACGCTGGTCATATTCAGATTTTGTTTGTTCCAACTGACAATGATAACTTTTTGTTCATTCATCCAGATGCAGCTCACTCGATCTATGAGGCGCGTCAAATCCGCCATGAGAGCTTTGTACAGGCAGCAGCACAGGGCCGTGATAACTTTTGGAATGGTGAGCTGATCTTTCTTTCAAAGCGTGTCTGTTTGTTGAATGAGCGCTCACTCATTGTGTTTCATGTACAGATCATCGTGATCCCATGTTCTACCCTCGCGAGGAACCTGTTTGCAGCTCTGGAAGCTTCAGCAGTGCTCTGGCCGACCCTCAACAATGCGGAGCTAGTGCGACCTACCATCCTACATGCGGCCTCCTTCAAGCCGGATCAGGGCGTCTCACTGCCCCTTCACCACCTCTGGAGCCTCGATTCATGCCCAATCAACCTTCCACCGAGTCACAAGTCAAGATGGTGACTCTTCGAGTGTTTCATGAGGCGTATTTTTGGGGTCCAAAAGATAGGAATCGTACATTGGCTCAAAGATCTTCATCTAGAAGAGCCATCGAAAAGCCTGTATGGAACTGTGATAAAACTGAAAAGAACGATACTGGACCCAAGCACTACATAAAGTTCGACTTGAATCATTCATCTCCTCAAGCGGTCATAGATTTAATGGTGGAATCTCTCAACAAAGTACAAACCAATCTTGGTACCTATCTCAGCAACGTATCTCATCCCCAGTCAGTTTCTTGGCTTGGTGTCAGTCTTACACCGAAGTCCTTCTTCCGCGGTCCGAAGTACCATCTCCGCGAACTCATTGAATGGAATCAATTCAAAAACTTATCCGATCATAACACTCAACCAAGCTCCGCTGGCCTTCTTGTTCAGATGGCAAATCCTGATCTCGATGTTGCTGCTGAACGTAGGAAAGAGGAAGTTGGTAGTTACATCAGCTCATGGAATACTCAACAAGCTGTTGTCAATAATCAGCCTAGTGGTTCAGCAACTGCTGAATTGACTGCATCTGAAAATTTACCGTTGAATGTCACTATCAAGTTAAAAAATATTCTCACCAATAATGGATCTGAACAATGCCGATTCAGAGATCCTCAAGAGTCTAAGAAATGGTGTCATATGACTCCTCGCAAGATCAAAATATGGGTTGATGCGATTGTAAGTTATATCTTGTTAAGATCGCTTTGGTCACAGTTGTGCTGATGAGACTCCAAAATTCTCAGATACTAGCTCGTCAAGAAGGTCGCAACAATGTTGATTTATGGACTCCTCCTAAGTTACCAGCTTTCAAGACCTTCCTCAATGGACAGCTTCCTCCAGGTTATCTCGAGTTTCCAGATGATCCTCCACCGGCAGGATTCATGGCTGCTGCTCCTGCACCTCTGACACAACAACCAATCCCATCAGCTACCCCAGCTCAACTACACGATGACCGTATCTATCAACGCAAATACTCTGGAGACATGGAAGCCTTTCTCAATTATGCTGAGTTTCCTGAAAGCGATCATACTTTGAGGACAAAGTTAAGCGAGGCTCATTACACTCGTTGGAGTGATCTCAAGCCAAGTGATGATATGAACAGTAAAGAATTACAAGCGATTGGCATAGCTCGAGGTGATGCAAACCATCTCCTTGGAAGTTCAGTTCGGTATGAGGGATTTTTACTTGCAAAGCTTGCTGGACTTGATGCGCAACAGCTTTGATTGATTTCTTTTCTCGTTTTTTCACTCTGTATTGCAATCTGTGATTGTTTTCTCTGTATCTTCTCTCTTCTGTTCCTTATCATGATCTGCTTTGATAGCACATCATTTTTTATTTTGATGATCTGCTTTGATCAATTGTTTTTTTTCATTTTCTTCTTTCGTGATCTGCTTTGATCAATCGTTATTGTGCTTTTCTTCTTTTCAATCTTATTCTTTGTGACAGTCTCATCTCAATCTTCCACCACATATTTTAACCCCAACTGTTCTGCATGCTGCTCTGTTTGTGTTTTGTAAATAAAAAAATGTATTGTTCTTTGAGTAATCAAAGCCGTCTGAA